TCTGTCGTGGATTTGACAGCACACAGGCGAGTGTTCACAGGGCTCACGATGTGCTGGATGTGCTCTGGGTCACCCTCAACTACGTCTTGTCACGCAGCCCTACTCCAGGTAAAGTGCAGGAGTCTACTTTTGCAGCCCTGTTGGCTGTGTCAGCCCAGTAGAGGACGCTGCCCCTCGCATTGGGAACTACAGGTCTAGGTGTCCGCAGTTGCGCTGCGCACCCTGGTGCTGAGGAGGCTGGACTCTTGTCTTCCCTCTCCAGTCCCCGTGCCCAGCCCAGAGCAGGGGCAACGTCAGTGCTGTTGAAGGACTGGAGAAAGGATGGGAGCACTGAGAGGGGGCCAGTGGCAGGGCCACACACCAGGCTCGGCCCAGGGGTGGGGGTGGGGATGTCAGGCACTGAGGCTGAGCTGCCCCGTGAGACAGGGACCCCTCCTCCACAGCCGTGTCAGGCGAGGGTGCACAGGGTTGCTGGGCATGGCTCCCTGTCTTTACGTGTGCTGCCTTCAGCATAAGCCGGGGCTGCCTCTTTAAAGAAACATGCCTGGTCAGCCGCAGCTGCATGCCCACCGAGCAGGAGACCCTGGGTGAGACACCACATCGATGAGCCAAGGCCCGCCGTGGCCAGGGCATCCACCACAGAGGAGGGCAGGAGGCCACATTGTCTCCTGCCTTCCTGCCACACCCTGCACAGGGAACACACACCGCAGCAGCAGGACCTAGTGGACACAAGCCCACCATGTCCAGCAAGCCGCTCTCAAGCCCCCAGGCTGTAGCCCCTCTTGGGTGGTGGGGGGAAAGGGTAGCACAGCCATGGGTTCTGTCTTTAGCTTTGCTGCGGGCCCTGTCTACTCCGTGTGGAGGGCACAGGCACTGTGGACCCCAACCCGAACTCCATACTCAACCTCCTTCCTCCTAAACCCCGCGCCCCATGCACCTACTTCCCTGCCTCGCAGGATCAAAGGACATTCCCCTTGACCCTTGGCAGGGAGGCAGCTCTGCTAGTGAGAATACTAGGGGTTGAGGGGGCCTGAAGGAGCCCATGCCTCAGGAGGGGCTGTGGTCTCTGAGCAGCTACCACTCACCCAGCAAAGCCATTTCGGCCACTGCCAGCAGGGACGCCATTCTCCGGGTAACACCGCCTTTCCCTTCCCCCTCAGGTTCGTCTCAAAGAAAGTGGTTTACCACTTGACAGCTGACCGGCCTGTCATGTACGACGGGAGTGATTCCCTGTAGTCTCGGGGCTCCAGGCCTCCTTGCCGCCCCCACCTGTCACATAAAACACTGTTCAAAAGGCAGCCACCACCTCTGCACGCTAAGCCCCTGGCAACTCCGAGAGAGGCCCTCGGGACACCCCCTCCCAAGCCGAGCGAGCACTGCCTGGTCTACACTACACACAGGTCACTCAGCCCCGGTCGGTCCTGTGGGCTCAGCGACTCTCCATTGATGGGAGGCCACTGTCCTCACACCCAAAGGGACACTGCCAGGGCTCACTGCCGTGCCTGTCAGCTCCTCTACCTACACCCACCCCCACCCCCGTGGAGAGTTTCCTGGGGATCCTGCCTACAGAGAAGGGTGGGTACCCCACTGTGGGACCCACAAGTCCTACCAGAACAGGAGGCCACAGGAGACACCAAGCCCTCTTGAGGGCCCCCTCCTGTCACACTGCCCCAGCGCCCTTGGGGCTGCCCCCCCCCTCCCCACACACACACACTCAGGCCCCTTTGTCCAGTTGCTCTGCCCTTAAGTCAAGCCCTGTACTCAGTGGCCAGGTCTCAGCAGCACACATCGTCACCCCGAGAACAGAGGAACAGACCCCCCTCGTGCTGCAGATGTGCTGACAACGGAGCTCAGGGCAGGGCTGACCAGTGTCAGTGTCCACCATCACGACACCCTCAGCAGGCGGCCTGCCCGTGCGTCCGCAGAGCCGCCTGCCTTCATGGAGCAGCGTCAGAGCCGGGCCGCTCTCATGTCACACCAGTAAGGTCCCACATCTGCTCTCGGTTCACGTCTGTTCATACCCGACTCCCCAGCCCCTCCTGCGCACACTCCCGCTGCCCAGCCTGCTGCTGACACCCAGGGGCAGCGAGTCCCTGACCCTGCTCCTGGACAGGAACAGTCTTCCTGTCCTCTGGCACACTGCTCGGAGGCTGGCCTCCCGGGTCAGGTCTGGGTACTTGTACTGACCACGGGCCTAAGGGTGACCGACCAGGTCTCCCTTGCTGAGGGCCCAGCTCTTCCTCTGGCCCCTCTCTGGTGACACCAGCCCTCGCAGCAATGGGCTGGAGCTCCCAGACCAAGCCCAGCACTACCTCCCAGCCCTCGGGCACCTGTAGCCACAGCACTTGCAAAAGGAGCCCGGGAGAAGCTGTCCCTCCTGAGAAGCAAGCTTCCCCCTCGGCAGGGCAGTTGGGGATTTCCTGTCCAAGAGTGAGGGGCGTGGGCAGTGGGGAAGCCAGAGAGAAGCTGGGCTTTGGGGCAGCCTCCTGGAGTGGATAGCCATCAGGGTGTCCATGGTCCCTCCTCACCACCGACAAGGCTGGGTATCCTAACCGGGAAGGGCCACGCCTCCAGTGACTTCCAGGCCATCGGTTTGTCCTCCAGGCCATCCGCATGGTTGGCGGATTGTTGGAGAGTGAATTGCCCAGCCCGGGATCCCTCTGCCTGCCCGCAGGGGGTCCCAAAGGAGGAGCTGAGGCCCGCTGGGGCCTCCGCTTTGTGTGTGCACCCAGAACCCGCTGCTGCTGGGCTGGGGGCTTGAGGGAGCCTGGGGTATTTTCTTCTGAGATCCGCCCGGAGCCTCACTTGGCCACCCGGCACAGCAAAAGACCCGTTTCCATGAAAAAGCGAGCATCCCGTCCCCAACACCCCACCCCAAACCCCGTCTTGAGCCCTGGTTCCGCGCACGCCGCCATTGCTGTGTGCTGGGTGGGCAAGTACTTACTAGAATGCCGAGTGTGCCGTCGTCCAGAGTGCTGCTTGGCCTGCGTACCAGGAGTTTGATCTTTCAACAGGGGCTCGGCATTTGACGTTGCAATGCTTTTAGTTTTAAAATCAGGAAAGAATGCAGGTGACAATCAAAGTGCCGCAGTTGGAGATGGCAGCCCAGCTGAAGTGCGGTAGACCCTGACGAGGCCAGGTCCTCAGGCTCCAGAGCCCCCTAGGAAGGGCTGGGGAGCCCTGATGGCCGAGCTCCTCAAGGACAGTCGGCTTGTACTCCTGCTGCGGGTCTCCGGGTGGCACTCCATCCCCAGGGTGAAGGGGCTCACAAGGCATTGCTGATGGGAAATGCCAGTAGGCCAAGGAGAGGGGCCCTCAAGTGGGAATCAGGACCAGGTTATCGTGCCCCCGCTCCATCCCCCCTTCCCCAGGTTTAGAAAACAGGAGAGCCACCAAGGGTGCTGTTTCTGTCGCCTCAGTGGTCAGTGAGGCACTGAAGCACTCCAGGCCCAGAGGGAGTGAGTCTGCCTTGGGACGTTACCTACATCAGACATCCTGAGAACCTCCCTGGGCTTCGGAGGTGCGGGGCCTCAGAGCAGTGAAGCCAAGGGGGGTGCCTCCTGGCCAGGTCCGCAAGGCATGCACCCCACCCTCAGTGGGGCTGTGGCGACCCCTCCCTCTGTTGGGGGTCTCCCAGTGAAGTAGGAAAGGCTGGCTCGGTCCCCTGCCCCTTCTGCTTGGGCGCCTTCAATAATAAAGCCAGTCTTCACCTGTCGGGGGGCATCCTTGTAAATGGGGCATTTAGCACCTTATCCCTGTGCGCTGTTCCCCAGAGACCCAGCTGCCCCTTGACATTGCAACTGCACTTTAGTTGACTACTCCTCAACCCGTGTAGCCTTATGGGATAGCGGGTCCATGAACCCGCTGCTTACCTGCCAAAGAATGGCACATGGGATTCCCACCCCCGCCCGCACAGCAGGGGCTGGGAAGAAAGTCCCACAGCCTCCCGCTAGTGTCTGCTCTGTCAAGTGCAAATGTTTTCTAACCTCAGGGCTGAAATAAAGTGAACACTGATACCTGGAACCTTGTCTTCATTCCTTCCCGGGCCGCGAGGGGGTGCAGGGCTGAGCTGTTGGGACAGCCTTTTGTACGGTGGCCTGAGAAACTGCTAAGACCACCGTGGGCCTTGGTATCTGGATACAGCCTGCCTGAAGGCAATAGTCATTCTCCCAGCCCACACCTGCAGAGTGAGCTCCCCTCAGCCCAGATGGGGCTCACAGAAAGGGGTTGGGGGAAGTGGGGCGCAGATGGCCCAGCTGACCTACATGTTGAGTCAGCATGTGGCATGACGCTGGGCCCAGCTGCCTTGAAGGACCTGCTGGCAAAGGAAGATGCCAACATGTGTGACACACACACACACACACACAATTGATAACTACTCTAGAGTTTCAACACAGGCCTGGAGGGCATGGCCCCATCATCCCCCGACTGAGCTCAGGCCTGCTCATATCCCACATCCGGGCTCCTCCGAGTGCTCCCGTCTTGAAAAGTGCCTCCCAGCCCCCTCCAGGGCTTCCCCTGCCCCAGATTCTCTCTAGTCAGTTACCCTGGAGTAAGCCCCTGTGTCTAGTTCTCTCAGGAGGGCCGGCTCCCATTCCTCTTCCTGCCCTGCCATCTTCTCCCTCCCTGACAGCGAGCATCACTGATGCACAAAGTACCAAACCAGTGAGGACACCAGTCAGTCCTGACTTGGACCGTCAATGATCCCACTGGCCCTCACGTTACGGGCAGGGACAGAAGCTCCCCAACGCTCCCGTGACACCGCCGATCACTCAGTTCTAACCCCTGCACGTCCACTCCTGTTGACCCAACCCCATCCTGGCCATCAAATCCATGCTGGCTCAGCAACCCTGCAAGGCAGAACAGGACCATCCCCTAGGGCAGTGGTTCTCAACCTTCCTCATACAGTTCCTCATGTTGTAGGGACCCCCCCAACCATAAAATTATTTTCATTACTACCTAACTGATTTTGCTACTGTTAGGAGTCGTAATGTGTTTTCTGATGGTCTTAAGCGACCTCTGTGAAAGAGTCGTTTGACCCCCAGGTTGAGAACCACTGCCCTAGGGGTCTAAAGCAGTACCTCAATGGGGGCAGAGCCCCATCTCTCTCCCACAGCGGTTTGTGGATTTGAACCACCAGCCTTGCAGCTGGCAGTCTAACACAACCCACCATACCCCCCAGGGCTGCTCCTGTTGACAAACACCCTCAAGTCAAACCTTCCAGTCCAGTGAAGCCCTCACACCCAGAACCACCCAGCCAGAGGAATTCTGTGGCCGTGGTCTCCCCAGGGTTGGAAGGCACGTGGGCCCGTAGGATAGGAACTAGCCCAGACACACACAGGCATGCAATGTCTGCAATCCAGCTCCTCCACCCCTCCTTACTTACCCCAAACTACTAAACCGCCGAGTAGTCCAAGCTGACAGAAGAGCCCACGTTGTCTTCCAGTCCCCGCATTCAAGGCCGCGTAGTTCTGACTCAGTGCAGGGGCCCGGGCTCCACGGCATCTGGGCAGCCAATCCTGTCAGTGGCGAGGCTCCCAGGGCCTGCCAGAGGAAGAGAGAACCCTGGTGACTCAGAAGGGCACTCCTGGCCAAGGTCAGCTCTTTCGCTATGAAGATGCGTGGGAAAAATCGGGCGAGGAGTTTGCCCCCCCCCCCAGGCCAGAAAAGCAAATTGATGGTGGAAGCGTGACCCCAACTGAGAAGGCAGCCGTTTTCTTGGGGAGAGCTGAAGCCAACCACAGCCTTGAGAACCACGCTGTGTCTGTGGTGGGTGGGGGTGGGGTGCATGGGGACTGGGAAGACGGTTCCGGGTGAGAGGAAGGTCAGCCCTTGGCTTCTCCCACACGCTGCCTTCTGAGCAAGGGCAGGACCGTGGCGCTGACGTGGATGGCGCTGGGTGGCCTCTGCTGAACTTGCGGTGAGACGGGCCCTGCAGCCGTCCCACACCTCTAGTGCGTGGACACTGAGCTGGTCAAAGCCTGAAAGGAGAGGAAGTCGGGCCTCCGCTGAAGATGGAAGAGAATCGGCCTCACTGTCGCCTAGGGAACGAGCGAAGGAGATGAGTCATCCTTTCTAGATGAGGTTTGGCTGAGGGCCTGCAGGTCCACAGACGCATCAAAGAAAGGGGACTCCCGGTGGTTCTCCCAAGGAGGACGGACCAAGCCTTGGAGGGGACGAGGGAACCAGCCCTGGGAGGTCGAAACCTCCCTGTTCCAGGCCAGTGGGGGTGGGGGCTAGGGGGTCTTCTTGGGGTGAGAGAGGGCAGTAAAAGGACGGAAGAGAGAAAAAAAAAGGTTCAGGAAAAGGGGGATGACCAGCAAGGGGCTTCCCCAGAGGCCGGAAGGAGGCTGGACCCGAGGCTTCGCTTACAGACACCATCTTTCTCTGGGGGGG